TTTTTTAACTTACCCTAAAATCATTCAGCATAATTTCTACCTCATTGTGGTTATAAAGGTCTAGGTTCAAGTGGAGGAAATGTAAATTCCAGCTCTGATGGGCAAATATAACATTTTATTTTATTTTTTTATTTTATGTATTTTATATGTATGAGTGTTTTACCTACATGTAAGTGAAGCCATGTCATGTAATGCCTGCAGAGGCCAGAAGAGGGCATTTGATTCTCTGGAACTGAGGTTATGGATGATTGTTAGCTGCCATGTGGCTGCTGTGAACAGATGGTCCTCTCCAAGAACAGCCAATGCTCTTAGCTGCTGAGCCATCTCTCCAGTCCCAGGTATAAAATTTATATCATAGGAAGAACATACAGGGAGAAACAGAAATACATTTACAGCTATACGCACAGTTTGGGAAACAGAATGGCATCACAGCTCTTATCAGCATCTCGAGGGGCCAGAAGAAAATGGAACAATGACTTACTGATCCTGAGGAAAGCAGCTTTCGCCTAGAGTCTTATACTCAGCTGAAGTATGAATAAAGTGTGAACACTGGATAAAGTCGCTTCTACACATGTAACTTGTCACGGAATTTAATTTTCCACTTTACCTTAACTGGGAAACTTCCAGAATGTGTTTTCCACCAGTAGTGAAGAAAAAATAAGATGATAGAGAAGCAGAACATGAAGCTCCAGCCAGGAGATAGAGGAGGGGACCCTCAGGATGACAGCCAGACTACAGAAGACCAAGGACTCCAGAGTGTCTCCCTGAGTTTGGCGTACTTTCTAATGTATTTGAATGAATGTTCTAAGTATGTGTAGATTAATTAGTGATAATATACAAGAAACGGGCAACAGGAAAAGAATATGCAAATACGGAAGCCAGACAAGGTGGTATACATTTCTACTCACAACACTTGGGAGTCTGGGGCAGGAGGACTGTTGTAGGCTTGTTGTCAGCCTGGGCTACAAAGTAAGTACCAGGTTAGCTAGGACTGCATAACAAATTATTTTCTCAAGAGTAAAAACACAAAGTATATGTGGAAGTGAACACAAACCTATAAGATCAGCACTTATGAGGTAGTGGTAAGAGGATCAGGAATTCAAGGCCGTCTTTAGTTATATAGTAAGTTAGAAGCCAGCTTGGACTACATGAGACCCTGTCTCAAAAAACAAAGCAAAACAAAACAAAACAAAAAAGCACCCAGGAGGCAGAGGCAGGCAGATCTCTGTGAGATGGAGGCCAGCTTAGTCTACATAGAGAGCTCTAGGCCAGCTGGGACTACAGGGAGATTCTGTCTCAAAAAATCAACCAACCAACCAAACAAACAAGCAAACAAACAAAAAAGCCAAAACAAAACAAAAAAAAATGAAGTGGAAAACCCATCCAGAAATTAGAGCAAAATCTTAAAATGACAAAAAAAAATGGGATTAATATCTAAAAAACTAAAAACGCAACACAGATGATCCACAACTTCCGGAAAAGAAAAGAATAAACAGGTATGGTGGCCCATGCCTTTAATCCTAACACTCAGGAGGCAGAGGCAGGAGAATGGAGCTCTGTGAGACTGAGGACAGCCTGGTCTACACAGCAAGTTTCATGCAGCTGGGGCTACAGGGAGACTGTCTCAAAACAAAAGGAATACTAAAGAGAGAAGATGACATTATCAAAGAAATAATTCCAGATGATTTCCAGAACTGCAATGGGTTTGGGGGAAATGTTATGTTACTCTGGAACACTAAGAAGAAAGAGAAGATCTTAAAACCACCCAGAGATGAGAAAAAAAGTAGTGATGTCGAGTTTTGTATTCAGAATAGCTTTAAGCTGCTTTTTAGTAGCCCTAGAAATTAAAAGATGAAGGGGTGATGCCTCCAAAATTCTCAAGGTAAACCACTTAGAACCTGTAATACAATGCCAATATATTGGCCAAGTATAAGTTTAGAATTTTCAAAATCAAACATGTAAGGATTTTCAAAGTTTAGCACAAGCTTGCTGCTTGAGGGTGAGTGAATGGATGCTTCAGTGCAGCAGAAAATCTACAGATATAATGTAAGATTGATAATGAAGTTATAAACACAAGGTCATGGGGTTTAGCGATTTGCCAATAGTCATCATAAACATCAATAAGACTCCACTTACTGCCTGATTGGGAGGACTGAGGATCAGGGAGTTCCTAAGGACAGTCTGTCTTGCAAGTTCTTATTCTTTGATGTTTTTGAAATGATGTTATTAATTTGACTGAAAATGATTTTGTCATGGCCAGCAAGAAGGCTCAGTGGATAAAGGGACTTGACTCTAAGTCTGATAACCTGAATTCAATCCCCAGGACCCACATGGGGTGGAAGGAGACAACTGACTCTTGCAAGTTATCTTCTGACTTCCACGTGTTGTGGCACACACACACACACACACACACACACTATATCACTATATATATTTATATATGTATATATATGTATGTATATATCAGTTTTTTCCCTCAGTACTAGAAATTATTGAATCCATGCTAAGCAAGCATTCTGGCACTGAGTTATATCCAAGCCTTTTGTTTGTTTTTTGGTTTGTTGGTTTGTTTTTGATACAAGGTCTCACTCAGTAGCTCTTGGCTGACCTGGAACTCACTACATAGACCAGGGTTAGCACAGAGCTCATAGAGATCTGCTTGCTTCTGCCTCCAGAGTCTGACTCTCGCAAGTTATCTTCTCACTCCCACGTGTTGTGGCACACACACACACACACACACACACTATATCACTATATATATTTATATATGTATATATATGTATGTATATATCAGTTTTTTCCCTCAGTACTAGAAATTATTGAATCCATGCTAAGCAAGCATTCTGGCACTGAGTTATATCCAAGCCTTTTGTTTGTTTTTTGGTTTGTTGGTTTGTTTTTGATACAAGGTCTCACTCAGTAGCTCTTGGCTGACCTGGAACTCACTACATAGACCAGGGTTAGCACAGAGCTCATAGAGATCTGCTTGCTTCTGCCTCCAGAGTGCTGGGATTAAAGGCATGTGCTACCACACCGGCTTGATTGTTTTTTTAAATACAGGATCTCAAGTGCTGGGATTCTAGGCATGCTCCACTGTGCCTAGCTGTTTGTATATTTTTTGATGATATAGTTGTATACCAGAGGGTGATGACCCACACTTGAAAGGCTGAGGCAGGTGGATTTTAAATTTGAGGTCAGCCTGAGTTATATAGACTCTGTCTCTTTCACACACATTTTATAAACTGTTAATATTTTATACACATTTTTATAGACAAGAACAATCAGAAATAAGTACAAATTTAAAATTTAAATCCAGAAGCCTGCTCTGTTCAGGAACGTAATGTGAATTCTTAGATAACTGCCACCTCTTGGTTAAGCAGGGACCACAACTGCAGGACTTAGGTTTGGGAACCAAGCTCTGTCATGCACTAGCTGGGAAATGCACAGGTGGTTTAGGCTGTCTGAGTGGCATCTCAGTCATGGATGGAATGGTCCTCAATGCTTGCTGGCTTCACAGAGCAGTGTGGCCCATCACCTGCTTGAGAAAGCACAAGTTCACTGTAAATCCTTTCCTCTTAACTCATAAATTAGTGGAGGGAGGAAGGGTGATTCAGTCCTCACTTCTGTTGTGCCCAGATTGACATGACATGTATTCCCCCACCCCTTTCAAACGAAGAAACTCCTCGAACCCAGTCAGCCTCTTCCGGAGGAGTCTGGATGGCTGTTATCTTAGTTTCCATATTGTTCTGCACATTATGTACAGGTTGTGGGTATGTTAAGCACAAGGCTGTTGATGAGGGTTCTGAGGCAGCTGTGAATTAACTGTTACTTTTTTTTTTTTTTTTTTTGCAAGCTCATAAAATCCCAGAAGGTAAGGGTCTGTTTATTCATTCAGCCTCTTTTTGAGTCATTCAGGTACAGGGTGTGTCTGTCAATTGAAACTGCACAGCAGAGGAAGTTTTGCGTTCACATCTGCTCTGGGTGGGAAGCCGGTGCGACCAGGGGACTGGGTGGAAACCTCTTTCTAACAGCAGGGCAAGGCAGAAAGGCCCTGACCTGCCACTCAGGCAAATCCAACCAAGGCCACTTTGGTCTCAAGCATTCAAGTATTATCTAGAAAAAAGAAAAAGAGTGGGCGAGGTACGACTATTGAGATCTGGGGGGTCTCTTGGTTGTCTTTCAAGTAGAAAGGGAAAGAAAGGCACTGAGCTTTTGCTCGGCCGCTGTAGGCGCTGGGCTGTGCAACGCCAGGCGGCCCTTTGGCTCGTGGAAATTCCTGAGCTGCCCAGACTGTTTAAATCTCTCAGGCTAGGGCAGCAGCCCACCTCCTCAAAGGCTTCGGCCCTTCCCAGAATCTGGGGCACACAGCCTGACTTTGAGCTCAGATAAGCCAGGGGAACCCCCACCCCACACCAAGCCGGGTGCTGGCCCACTTAGTCTCCCGCCCGAAGAAAAGCCACTTTCTGCCCACCAGACCGCAAGTTTCGGGGGTGGAGGGAGTGGGGGAGGACAGGACCATTGTGACCCCTTCAGGCAGCTAGCCTCCTCCCAGGCTCTCCAAGCCCCTTCCCAGCCTCTCCTCCCTCTAGCTCCTCGGCCACTCGCTGAGCGGCAGCTCCGGCTCTCCCTGGCCTCGTGGAAGGGACCCCCGGGGGCTCCCGGCCACCACCTTTGGACACCCGGATCCTCGGGTCTGTGGGATCGATCGAGGACCAGGGAGGTCCGTTACTAGACGCGGGTTAGTCCTCTGCCCGCTAAGATTGTTTGGAAGCAAAGTTTTCCAAGGGGTCTCCATCTTCTTTAGTTTCCGGGGCTCGGCTTAGTCCACTGCAGCGCTGGGGAGCGAAACTAGCTGGCGATTTGTGAGTTAGAATTTAGGGGCTACTAGGCTCCGCCCCTCCTCTCTTCCCCCTCTCTCGGCGGGGTGGGGCGGAGGGGCTTCTTTTCATTTGGTTTTATTTTAGTCTTTCTGCCCCAGATCTTTCCTGGAGGCTGGGTCTCAGCAGTCTAGATCCGGAGAGGTCCCCTGCGGCTGGCACTGGGCGTGAAGAGTTAAAGGCATTAACCCCTCCCCGTCCCTTCCTAAAGGAGCCACCCAGCCCCTCCGCTGCGCTCGGGACCTCGCCTAGCACTGTGGCTCCGGCTGCCGCGAGCAGGGCTGGCCATTGGAGTGCACGAGTGCGGAGGGAGGGGGCCCCAGCTCCGGGAACTTTGCGAGCGAGCACGACGCGGTCAGTCCCGGGCAGCGGCAAGATGCAGAGTGCGCGGTGCAGACCCGGAGTCCTGCCGACGCAGCTTCGTCCCGCCTGAGCCAGGTAGGGGGCTGCGGGCCGTGTGGGCTCCGCGAGGGCTGCCGGGCGCCTAGGTGCCACCAAGGAATTTTATAAACCCGAACGAAACAAACAAAAACTTTGAAAATGTGCACCGCCGGGTTCCTATGGAACCCATCTGGATTGGATTGTTCTCGGGGCTCCGGGTTTATGAAGCTTGGGAAACGGTTAATCCCCAATTTAGAGAAAGGTCTGGGACAGGGGAGCTGGGGTTCGTTAGAAGAGAGAAAAGGAAGACCCTTAGTTTGAAAAATCCTGTAGACAAAAAATACCAGGCACAACGGTAATGACTTCCACTGCCTGGGAGTGAGGTGAGGATTAATATGGGGGACTATCCAACTTTCCTGGCACCAGCAACCTCTGCTGTCCGGGATTATTGCGGTGGCTCTCGCCTGTATTCATTTTTGTCCCATTGCTGCATTACTTTACAACATTTAAACTCCTCAATGAATGCTGTGTGGTTCCTCCAGCACTTTCTGGTTTTGTGAAGGGAAGCAGTGTTTCGAGAGGAGGAGGGAAAGGGAACAACATTAACTAAAACTGCCCACGCAACTTTTGCAATGTATGTTTCTGGAAAGTAATCTTGCACTTGAAATTAGAAACGAAGCGATATCATTAGCAGTAGAACTTGTGTGTGTGTGTGTGTGTGTGTGTGTGTGTGTGTGTGTGGTGTATGTTAGCTAGAGTCAAAATACTTAGGCAATCAATTCCTGTGGACATTTCTGGGATTTGCTGTAATCTCTAAAGTGTGGTTTTCAATGAATACCTTTAAACTTTAAATTGACTTGCAGGGGGTGGGGTGGGTGGGGTGGAGGAGTAAAGAAAAAAAAAAAGAAGAAGAAAGAATAGGCAGTCGCTTCACGGAGGCGCTGAGCTTTCCTGTTTACCGCAAGGCCTGGAGGCCCACACCTCTCTGTGCCCTCCGACCCTCCACACACCTGCTGTTAGAGTTATTAATAGACCCCAGAAAATGACTTACACTGTCAAGAGATTCTTCTGTAAATCTACTTTCTTGCATGGCAGTTAGGAGGTGGTGCTGGGCTCTTTGAGGTGTGTGTGTGTGTGTGTGTGTGTGTGTGTGTGTGCGCGCGCGTGCAGTGGGGGCCAGGAGTGTGTATGTCCACACTCCGAGTTGGCAGTTGGGCCTCTTGTGAGGAGAGACCTTGGGCTGATGGTGAGCAAGCAGCCGAACTGGCGACCACTTGAAGAATCCCCCGGCTGGAATTTGGGGGTGACGGTGCCAAGGGAGAGGATGAGGGGGCCAGAAGGTAGAATGGGCACTACAGGGCTCTCAGAGTTTCCAGTCTGGATAATTTTGGGGGTCTCTCTCTCTCTCTTTCTCTCTTTCTTTTAGTTTTATGTTGGTGCTAGAAATGATAATTGGAGTTTTTCTTTAAAAAAAAAAAATTTCCCTGCACTTTCCCCAAGCTTCCTTAAAACAAATCACCACCAGCCAAATTGAAGCGATGCTTTGGCTAGAATGAATTCTGCTAGTGTTGGTCTTTTCCCTGACTCTTTTCTTTGTGATTTGTTTAAGGCTGCAGGTTTCCGAGGCCCTCTCCAGCCAAGGAAAAGCTCCACAGAAAGCGTTGGATTGCTCACTGACCCGGCCCTGCAGCCACTGACGGCCAGCTCAGCTTCGCCCTCTAGCGATCGTCTGGAGAAGTGCCACCCCGGGCTCCTGGGGACACAAGCGGCTATGAAGCCCACCAGCATCCCGGTGGTCAAGGCCCTCCGCAGCTCCGTCTCCGACTATGGCAACTATGATGTCATTGTCCGGCATTACAACTACACGGGCAAGCTGAATACCGGGATCGAGAAGGACCACGGCATTAAACTGACTTCGGTGGTGTTTATTCTCATCTGCTGCTTCATCATCCTAGAAAATATATTTGTCTTGCTGACTATTTGGAAAACCAAGAAGTTCCACCGGCCCATGTACTACTTTATTGGCAACCTGGCCCTCTCGGACCTGTTAGCAGGAGTGGCCTACACTGCCAACCTGCTGTTGTCTGGGGCCACCACCTACAAGCTCACCCCCGCCCAGTGGTTTCTGCGGGAAGGGAGTATGTTTGTGGCTCTGTCGGCCTCGGTGTTCAGCCTCCTCGCCATCGCCATCGAGCGCTATATCACCATGTTGAAGATGAAATTGCACAACGGGAGCAATAGCTCTCGCTCTTTCCTGTTGATTAGCGCCTGCTGGGTCATCTCCCTCATCCTCGGTGGCCTGCCCATCATGGGCTGGAACTGCATCAGCTCGCTGTCCAACTGCTCCACAGTGCTGCCGCTCTACCACAAGCACTATATCCTCTTCTGCACCACGGTTTTCACTCTGCTCCTGCTCTCCATCGTCATCCTCTACTGCAGGATCTACTCCTTGGTCAGGACTCGAAGCCGCCGCCTGACCTTCCGCAAGAACATTTCCAAAGCCAGCCGCAGCTCGGAGAAGTCTCTGGCCTTGCTGAAGACGGTGATCATCGTCCTGAGCGTCTTCATAGCCTGCTGGGCCCCCCTCTTCATCCTGCTGCTGCTGGACGTGGGCTGCAAGGTGAAGACCTGCGACATCCTCTACAAAGCAGAGTACTTCCTGGTTCTGGCTGTGCTGAACTCGGGTACCAACCCCATAATCTACACTCTGACCAACAAGGAGATGCGCAGGGCTTTCATCCGGATCGTATCCTGCTGCAAATGCCCCAGTGGAGACTCAGCTGGCAAATTCAAGCGGCCCATCATCCCAGGCATGGAATTCAGCCGCAGCAAGTCAGACAACTCCTCCCACCCCCAGAAGGACGATGGGGACAACCCAGAGACCATTATGTCTTCTGGAAATGTCAACTCTTCTTCCTAAAATCGGAAGCTGTTGATTGTGGGGAAGCGCACTGACTTGGTTACCCACCACCCTAGCATTTCAAAAATGGCTCTGGGCCTCAACTACTGCCGGGAAGGAGCTACTGCGAGCTAGAGAGAGGGAGGGAAGGGAGAATGCGTGGCCTGGTGGTGCCATGGTGGTAGGTAGATAGTTCCTGTGAACAATATGCGCTGGGAAGGGTGGAGATCAGGTCGGGCCTGCAGCCTGTTTCCTGCCCCTCCACCCAACCCTGGAGCTTTGATTTTGCACTGAGCCAGAGGTCTAGCATTGTCAAGCTCCCGAAGGGCTCTTCTGGCCCCTCCTCAAAGACTAAGGTCTCATGGGAAAGTGTCTTTTTGGAGTTTGGAAACGTGTTCTTTCACTGTAATGGCAAGTGAGTGTGTGCACCTCTGCTTGGCTAGGGTCCCTCTGCATGTCCTTCCAGCCCCTTCATGCCGTTCCTCCAGATTCTTTTACTTTTTATCTTAACTACCTGGCCTTTGTTCCTCAGAGGGAGGCTGTGGTGTGCTCCGTTTTTCCACCCTTTGCTGTAGGTAGACTGTGTTGAGGAGGTAGGCTGAAGGAGGTGGAGATGGCTTGAAGATACAAAGCAGTTTCATTTGCTGAGGCCAAAGTTTCCACGTAAGCTGGGTCAAGTTGTTTGGAATTTGGTTGGTCACTTTGACTTTTTTTTTTAAAAGCCACCTTTGCAATGAAGTTCTTTATTCCTACCTGTTTATTATTCACATTACAAACATGATATTGACATGTGGTTGTAATGGAATAATGAACTCTACTTTGAATGATACCAGCCATGATCCTGGGTGACATAGGAGAAAAACAAATAAAACAAGGTGAAAACTGGAGTTAAACCAAGAGAGAATTTTTAATGGCTTGGTCTTTGGCACTTTTGTTGATTATTTCAGAGCGATGTGTGACCCACTTCAACCAACTGGAGGATGGCTGTATTCTGTTAAAAGTACTCTTTATGATTTTGAATGTATTTCTTTTTGCAAATATCATCTTTTGGATTTTTTTCTAACCTGTGTTAACATCGTTGAATGTGCATTTCTTAAGAATGTACCACCCTCTTGTGTCTGAAAAAGCATTACTTTAACTGATAGGGAACACCAAGAGTTTTTCATTTTACCTGTTTATTAGATATTGATGGTGTGTGTAAATGTTACAGAGAATAAAAATATGTTACTGTCTCCTTAGTATGGTTTTCAGTGCAATTAAACCAAGAAATATCTTGTTTTTTTTTAAAAAAAAATAGTATTTAATAGGTTTCTGACTTGTGGACCATTTTGCACATAGCTTTATCAACTTTTAAACATTAATAAACTGATTTTTTTAAAGATTCCTTTGTGAAGAGCATTTTTGAAAACACTAATTGAGATATCTTTTGATCCTATGCCTCTTTGGAATCAAAGTTACAGATGTTTGTTACTCCTTAAAGGACTTTACCTTGATAAGGTAGGGTGTGAAAAAACTGTGGTTTGTTCAGAAACCACCCTATCCTTTTCAGGAAGAGAAACTTCAACAAGCTATCATTAAAGACCTGTGGAAAATGAGATAAAAACCACTAGCCTCTGAATACCGCACTGGCAAGTAAATATAATTATTTGGGTCTTAAAGTGCATCAAAGCCAAACAAAACTAATGTGATAATTCCGTCCTAAAATATAGGTCTTCAATGATACAACAATGTAGTCATTAATCTCATTAAACTATGACTAAAATGATCAACTCAAACCCTTCAACAAAAGCATTCATTCCTGGTCTTCTGTCAATATGCTGGGAAAGAGAAGATATGGATATGGGAGATAATATTAAATCACTCAAGGCTTTCTGATTTTTGTTGTTATTTTGGGGACAGGGTCTCATGTGTCCCAGGCTTTTGACCATGAACTCATGATCCTGTTGCTTCTTCCTCTTCCTCAATACTGGGCCCAGGTTGCTTGGCACTGTGAATTGAGCCCAGATCCTTGCACATGCTAGGCAAGCAGTCTACCAATTGAGCTACATTTCTAGCCTCTTATGTCACTCCATTTTTTTTAGAACAACATCTTGGGTCCTCCAGCGTATCTTGTGAATGGTTCAGAACAATGCAATATCAATTTTAAGAAGTAACAATTGTAAAATATATGCTGGGCAGCTTAGCACCTTTTTGGGAATGGGAGACTTTCTTAACATTAATTTTTTCAACTAAAATGAAAGCAACTGTAACATAAAAGCTTGTACTGGAACATTATTATAACAGTTAACTCTTGAAGTTAGTGTCATCTTTATTGTGTATTAAATCAAAGTAGTTTGGTGCCTTTGGCTTTCCAGTCTATTGTTACTTTCAGAATTTGTGTTTTCAAGTGTCATTGAATATGCACAAGACAGGACGCAGTTGGAACATGAAGATAAACCTCACCTACTAGAGTAGATGTCATTTCTTGGTAAGGTTAACTGTGGGAAACAGAAGTGTGTTCACTAAGGAAACCTTAGGTCATAACCTCCAGCTTCCTGAAGGAAATGCCAAAAGTGCTCCCAAGACAAAGGGCTGGAAACAAATGGGAATGTCTCCATCCATCTGTCTGCTGAGGCGGAAGGGGTGACTTCATGTTCCACTCACTTCCTCGAGCTTTCATTATAGAGGCAAGCATAATGGAAAAGTGGGTCTATTTTGCTTCAGTGGATGATAAACTGTTTGTACCCTTGGACTTATCTCCATAAGCGCAGGGTGACTCATAACATGGGAGTAGATGGGGTAGGGCAGCTGGCTTTGCTGGCTAGTGGGGAGTTCACTGGCAGCAGGGAGGCCAGTCTTCTTGTCCATCTGAGGCAGGAGGATCAGGACCAGACAGTGGATCTGGGCAGTTTTGGATGGTGACTTTTCTGGGCAGATGTGTGGCATCCCCCTTTTGGTCTAGAAGCAAAGGATATGTTGAAGGAATCCTTGGTTATATAATCCTTGATTAATCCTTGGTTTTAACTGAGTATATTTGGGAAAGTGAGGATGAGAAAAAAAATCTCAGTGACTACATGTTTACATTACAATATGCCCACATATCCCAAGGGATTTAGCACAGTTAATACAGTGCTTGCTTAATATCCCTGTAGGTTCCATCCCTAGAACTACATAAACAGTGTGGTGGTAATCCTAGGAGGTGGAGGCAAGAGGATTCTCAGTTACATGTCATTCGAAACCAGCCTAGGATATAAGAGACTTTATCTCAAAGAAAAATTGTAGTATTGTTCAAAAGTGGAGGGCATATGGAGCTAGTTATTATCTTTATGTAAATGTTCAATTAGCTTTAAATATTAGGAAAGCTCTGAAACATTACATAATACTTGATCCTCAACATTAACTACAATTTTAACTTTTTTAAACTTCACACAACAATTTTAATCAATACTTTATACAAAGCCAGTGTGATGGCTCATTGGGAAAATGTGCTTGCCATGCAAACCTGGCAACCTGCGTTTGCTCCCTGAAATACACTTTATAATAAAAATTAGCCAAGAGTGGTGATTCATGACTGTAGTCCTAGAAATTTAGAAGCTGAGGCAGGAGGATCAAGACCAACTCTGGCTGTGAAGCAAATTTGAGGCCAGCCTGGGTTATATGAGACTCTATCTCAAAAAACTAGAACTAATAGTAATAGTAATACTAGTAATCAATCTAGTAATATTATTGGGAGTTTAGAAAGCTATAGGAGAAATGTTGCATTCATGTTCATTAAATACTAGATTCTATTGATTAATACCACTTCGGTTGTAATGTTTAGAATCCCTATTCCCCGCCCCAGTGTAAAAAAAAATCTGATTATAAGGATCAAAATTTCGTCCTTTTGAAATGATGATAACCTTGTTCTGAACATTGCCTGTGCTAAGGACCTGTCCACTGCACATCTTCTTAGTACTTTCAATCAAGAGCACCCCTTTCATTGGCTTGGACCCTGCATGTCTAGGCTGGGCACATCGTTAGGGTTTTTCACTTCTTTTAAACAACTGTTTGAGCTTCTACTCTAAAAGAATGCCTAGACAAATGATAGGCTCTCCTGGGGAGACCCTGCAAGCTGAGGACTTGAGGATCAAGTGATCCTCTGTAGTTTAACCCTATTTTCAATTGAGAAGCAGGCTACGGCACTAGAGTGGCCCTTTAAGAACAGTCTGTGGGCAAAATTGCTGAAGACCTTCTAAATAGTCACTGGTTCCATAGCTGGATTTGAAGGGAGCACACCTAGCACTCAAGAGGCAGAGACAATTGCTGAGAGTTCCAGGCTAGCCTGGGCTATAAAGCACAAACCTATGCAAAGAAAAAAAAAGTCATTGGTTAAAAAATTAATCTTTAGCTAGTAACTGTTATAAGTATTTGTAATGAGGGTTTTTTTTGGTTTCTATATACTGTTGAATTATTTACTTATTTATTTATTTAATTTTTTGAGATAGGGTCTTATGTAACCCAGACTGGCCTTTAACTTACTCTGTGGTCGAGACATTAGCAACCATGCCTGGTTTATTTGTTCATTTGTTTGAGGCAGGGCATCATGCAACCCAAGCAGGTTTCAAACTCCTTATGTATGTGAGGATGTCCTTGAACTTCTCATCCTGCCTTAGTTGAGATTACAATGAGTGCTTCCACACTGTGCTGATGTGGTGCTGGAGATAGAACCCAGGGCTTCCTGTGACACGCACTCTAACAACAGGGCCCCACCCTCAGCTAACGGTTGCTTCTTTTTTTTATAAGGCTCATTCCATTCTTCCAGCTAGAATGGGCTTCCTAAGGGCACCTAACTAATTTTATCAAACTAAATTTGATCTCATTTATTTTAAGAGTGAGTTTGTTTACATTTTTCCCTAAGTAGTTTCTAAACACCTTGAGGGACGAATTGCAATGAGCTTAAAGAAATCTTTGTGGGACACTGTTCTGCTGTGGATGCAGTGCAGTAGGTTAGTCAAGGTTTTTTTGCCTCTGTGTGTGTGTGTGTGTGTGTGTGTGTGTGTGTGTCTTTTGAGTCTGTGCCTCACTCTATAGATCAGGCTGTCCTCCAATTTACTGTAATCCTTCTGCCTTAGCTTCTTGAGTACTAGATTATAGCTGTCTGGCACACTGAGTTTTTGATGAGAAAACATAATAAATCAAGTACTTCCTTCAAATTTCCTTCCTGCCTTCTTGATGTGTGCTTCACACCATCCAAAAAAAAACGACTCAATGTAATCATTTATATTTACCTTTGCTTTACCTTCCATAATGACTGGATCTAGAATTATCTTCCATACTAGTCCAGCACACAAGGCTTGAAGAGTGAAAAACCTTTAGGTTGTCTATCAAAACAAACAAATAAAACAAAAACAATGTGGGCGTGGTGGGGCATGCCTTTAATACCAGCATTGGGAAGGCAGAAAAAGGTGGATCTCTATGAGAGCCAGGCCAGCCTGGTCTACATAGTGAAGCAACTGGGGCTACAGGGAGACCCTATCTCAAAAAAAACCTAGAAAGAGATTTCTGCTGGGCAGAGTGGTGCATCCTGTAATCCTAGCTGTGGGGCAGCTCCAAGCAAGATCCTGCCTCAAAAGAGGAGCAAGAAAAGGAGGGTAGGAGAGATAATTGGGAATATGCTCAGCACACAATATGTGTGTGTGTGTGTATGTGTGTATATACGTGTGTGTATATGTGTGTGTATACAAAACTTTAAAAAGGACTTCAAAACCAAACTTAAAAGAGAAAGGAAGAGAAAGAGAGAGAGAAAGAGAAAGGAAAAAGAAAGAAAGAAAGAAAGAAAGAAAGAAAGAAAGAAAGAAAGGAAAATTCACTAATATTCAAAAGAGCTAGGGAAGCTAAGAAGGAGATCATGTACCACAAATTCGATCTCCTCTATTCACGGTCTTTGGAAAGAGCTGGGATCAGGAGCAGTGTTGGCTCATGTTGGAGATGTGTCCTATGGTACCCAATCCTTGGCTTCCTGTGCTTCTTCTCATATTTAGATTCCTGTGGACTTGTGTTCCCTGAGCTCTCCTTTTCATCCCTTTGAGGACACAAAGATTAAAACTCAGATTTAGCTTCATGTATAGTCATGGGCAAAAGCCCAGAGTGGGCTTCGGAGCTGTGTGAACAGGAATGTCTGTCTGTGTTTTGTTTTACTGAAGTACCTTTGTGCATCCAGTCAGCAGCAGCTTTGTTAATGATAGACACTGTTGTAATTTCAACATGGAATACTACTCAGCAATTTTAAAAGGAACAACTACTAATTCTTTCAACAATCTGCATGACTCTCCAAACCATTATGTTGGGCAAAGAAACCAGTCACAAAAGAAAATATAATGTAAAATCCCATTTATGTGAAATTTAAGAGAAGGTAAAACTTAT